GTGAGCGCCCCCCGGGGGCAGGCCGCGGCAGGCCGAGCGCAGCCCCTCACACCCGGCCCTGGTTGCTCCCCTCCCGCGCGCCCGCAGTGCCCTACAAGTTCTTCCCGGAGCCGTCGGGCCTGCACGAGAAGCGTAAGCAGCGGCGCATCCGCACCACGTTCACGAGCGCGCAGCTCAAGGAGCTGGAGCGTGTCTTCGCGGAAACCCACTACCCGGACATTTACACGCGGGAGGAGCTGGCGCTCAAGATCGACCTCACTGAGGCTCGCGTGCAGGTGCGTGTTTGCGCGCGTGTGTACCGGAGTGTGTGCTCGCAGCGGGCTGGAGGCCACTGCCCGACCCCGTGGGGCCGCGGGACTGAGGGGCCTCGCCCGGCGGAGGGCAGGGGCGGCCTGCAGCCGGGAGCTGCGCGGGGTAAGTGGGGAGGACAGGACGCGCAGCCCGGAGAGGCGCTGGGCCCGGGACCCGGCAGACCTGAGGCCCTCGGGAGAACTGAGCTGGTCAGGCCCACGATTTCCCTTCAGGCCCCAGGTAGGGCCGCGCATGCAGGGTGGTGCTTGGGGAGCCGGAACGGAGGCCGAGCGGGTAGAGGGGATGCCCCCGCGGCCTCGGGTCCCTGCAAGGTGGAAGAGGTGGGGAAAGCCGGCCAGAGCCAGGTCCCCTCCCCAGCTCTGCAGCCGTGAAACTCCTGGGCCTGGAAAGCCCGGGCGCAGGGCGGACTCTGATGTCTGTCCTACAAATCCGAGTACAGATGTCCAGCTGGTCCGCCTCAGCTGCAGACAAAAGGTTTCTCCTAGCGTCCTAAGCCCCCCTCTGCCGCCGTGGGACACTCCAGGCGGGTACTCGGAGCGTCTTGTAGGAGGGCACTGGGGGACAGGGCCTTGGGTGAGGAGAGCCAAGGCGGAGTTCCCTCCGCGGGGTCCGCGGGGCCGCAGAGCCTAGGGGAGACTGAGGACCTGTAGGAAGGGGCGGGCGGAGAAGCGGGGGCGGCGAGCTGAGTGGTGGACGGCAGGGGGGCCGCGCTCGCAGGCCCGGTGACCCGGCCCTTTCCGGACCGGAGTCTACACTCGCGCGTGTGGTCCCGGGCTAACCGGCCCCTGTGCCCGCAGGTCTGGTTCCAGAACCGCCGGGCCAAGTTCCGAAAACAGGAGCGCGCGGCCAGCGCCAAGGGCGCGGCGGGCGCGGCGGGCGCCAAAAAGGGCGAGGCGCGCTGCTCGTCCGAGGACGACGACTCCAAGGAGTCCACGTGC